TTAAATATGTACCTGCTTTTTGAATGTAAATCCGTAACCTGTAGTAGTTGTCATTCCACAATATTTTCCATTTCTAAAAATAGGTTCACTGCCCCAACACCATGTATCTAATTCAGGATCATGATCGTTTAATAATAGCTGCACATATTTCCGTTTTACACCTTCTTCGCGTTGTTTTAAAAGAGCATCTCTTCCAATAAAATGCACACCTTTCTATTAAGCATATAGCTTTAAAATATTGTTTTAATTAAACTTTAATATATAAATCATGCAAATTCTAAAGATAACTACATCTAATTTTACTCTCCAAGTTCGTCCACATTCCAAAGGAGTAGTAAAGGTGTCTAAATCTTGACCCCAAAATGCGTAAAATTTTTCAACTCGTAAAGCTCGAGTTGCATAGTAACCAGCATGTTTTATTCCATATTTAACTCCAGCATCTACTAATCTTGTATAAACATGTAATGCAAACTACAAATGTGTAATGTGTACATCAATAAAATATAAAATTCATAATTTAGAAAAGATTTTTTTATTAATTTAGGATACTAACTTCATTTGGAATATATAAGACATAGCCAAGTTCTCCAGTATGAGTTAAATTCATTGTGCGTATTCCATTAGCAAGACCAACATCTAACTCCTTTTCAAGAAATAAATGTGTGGTAAACATAATAAAATTAAATATGAATAATATAATATTAAATATACTTATAACTAATAATAAATATAATTAATAATTAATAATAAATACCTTAAAAGTAAAAAATGGAAAATTTTTGGGATTTAAGTCAGTATCTGTTAATTCTGATAATAATTGCCTAGTAGCAGGACCCATAATACAGATTGCTGTATATGCTGATGTTACATCAGATACTGCTACAGAACCATCTACTGGTAAATGACGATTAATCCAATGCTTACATCGAGTTTGTTGTATAGTAGGTGCAATCATCATATAACTTAAATATAAAAAGTCTAATTATATAGCTATATCTTATATCTTATAAGTTGTACAACTTATTTAAACAACTTACTGATTGGGAGCAATACGTGCTAAACTGCAATCATTTTCATAACCTCCACGATGATTTTGTAGACCTGTATGAATAATACCTCCTACTGGAACATCAACATCATTGGAACACAAATATTGTAAAAAATCGACTACTTCCGTTCCATTTGACTAAAACAATACATGAATTGAAAAATCATGTAATGCAATAATATACCCATATATTAGTTACAATAATCTATCATACCCATAAATCAATTTTAGTGAAAGAAGAATAGTCGCTCAGTCCAATTGTTTCTCGACATGCAGCATACTCATTCCAAACTGCTTCAAACCATGGTGGTTTACTGAACGTATTTGTATATGCTATCTTACATCTTTGAAACCCATCAATCGTCTCTAAATCTGTGTAGCAAAGCAATCTGTATAATAAAATCCAGTTTCTTCTTTTATAATACAGACATGTTAATAAATAATGTTTTATGAAGAATTTTATACTAAAAAATATAGAAATATCTATCTTCTAATATAAAATTTTTCATAGAAAATTTGTCTTTTATAAAAGAGAGTGAACCTACCATTATCACCATCTAATTGAAACCAGGATGGTCGCTCGTACCCCATTACTTGACCAAATATGGCACCAGCTGCTCGAAGTTTTGGATAAATTGGAGACATTCTTAAATTTCTACCAGTTTTAAATTCATGATGTGGATATTGTAGAGCATAATGCATGCCAGGAACTTCTTTTACTCGATCACGTAGGAATTTACGATTGTTATGAAGTCCCAAAAATCGTGACACATCTAATTCATACATATCTAAAGATGTTGAACCGTTAACTATTAATTCTGCAGTTGCTCGACCAACTCCACCAGCTGCTGATATACCCACCTATAAAAATTATATTTTTGTATATCTTATAATTTCATAACTTATGGTAACTTACCGTTTTCATACCAGCAGCAATATAATAATTACGTATTTCTGGTGCTTCACCAACTATCCACTTACAATCTGGAGAAAATGCTTCAGGACCATTACATAATTTTTCTAAAATAGCATTTCCTAGACTTGGAATTCTATAAAGCATCTGTTCAAGTAATATATGAAAATGGTCCCAATCTTCTGGCAGAAATCTTTGCTCTGTACCTCCTAAATTAAAATTTGTTGCATATTTAAGTCTATATAAGATCAATAATAAATAAAAATCTATATCTAACCAGGTATTGTTCCATCTTCAAATGCTGGTTTTGCAACTGGTTCAAAGCCACCAGCTAATAAACTTCCGTTATTTTCTCGAAAATAAATATATCCATCCAAATCCCTTATAACAGGGGTCATAGGATCTAAACCATTAATTGATTTTGTATGCAAATAATAATGTTCTACAGGGTGGAGAGGCACCTAAAAATAGAATATATTTAATTCAGATTATTTATAAAAATTATATTTCTTTCTTATATTCACTAATAACAGTAAAGAAAATATTTAACCTTTACATATGGCTCGCTTAATTTTCCTACATTACGTGCCCAAAATCCAGCACAATTAACAAAATGTTCACATTCAATAGTACCATGTGTTGTTTCTACAGCTGCAATTCTACCATTTTGTGTAATAATTTTAGTAACTTTACAATTTTCAAACACTTTAACACCTAAAAGTATTAGGAGCTAAATGAATTTTACAATCTCATTATAATATGAAATTAAATACATATTCTTATATCCTTTTTTACTTTCATGAAAAACTGTAAACACCTTTCTTTCTTGCCTCTCCTATTAATGTTAAACAAATTTGATATGGATCTCCCACTCCATCCCCTGGGATCCATAATCCACCAACTAAATCATCTACTCGTAATAATGGACATATTTCTTGTACTTGCTTTGGTGTAATCAAATGACATTCAATATTGCGGGAACTAAAAATATTCATAGAATGATCTACATTTAATTAATTTTATATACTACTACAATTAGTAATTGACTCACATAGACTGTGCTTTCATTCGTCTAAATACAGTCATACGATCTCTTGTGCGTGCTAAAGAAAGACTACCACATTGTTTCCATCCTGTTGATAAGCCTTTTTTTTCCAATGCTTTATATAATGCTATGGTATTCTGAGCTAGCTTAACTTGTGCCAAACTTGGTTTAAAAGCTCCTACTAATCCTGATGTATGCCAGGTTGTTCCACCTCCTAATCTAAATTTAGTCAAAGTAAATAAATGAAAATACATTTTTATCCAGTCCAAAATGGACTTACAAAGTCTGCCATTTCATACCTGCCGCTTTCTACAATAACAGTTTGAGATCCTAATCCCATAAGTGAAAGATGATAAGCAACTGCACCACCCATAACACCACCTCCACATATAACAACTTTTGTTTGCTTAGGAAGTGGGTCATCAACATCTTCATTTGTTTCTACAGTAGTTTTTGAACTACTATGTCTTATTCTTTTGTTGTAGTTGTAAAAAGCAAAATTATTCCATTTTGTCACAAATTTATTACAAATTAATTTAGAATGATGCCACATTGTCATAATGTATATAGATAGAACTTTAATATCTTTTACTAATTTTCACGTAAAAACAATATAAATATACATGTATATTTATAGATCATCACGTTTCTTTTAAGGTTAGATTGTTATAGAATGCGAGACTGTTCTCTGAACTATCGTTTCATTAATTGTCTTCAAACACTATCAACTATATTATGTTAACATTTAATTTACAAAATTCAAAATATGTTTAGTCTTTAATAAATGTCATGTAAGTTTTTATGAGATCACTTAGATAAAATCGGTTTGAAAAAGAAATAAGTAGTTATAACCGATTTATATTAAATGTAAAAAATTTTAGTTGAATTATAATTTTGATTGTTATATAATAATACAGTTTTGAAAATATAAAAAAAATGTTTAATTAGTAAAAGTCGACGAAAATATGTAAAGGCAGGCAAAAATTACTTAGGACATTAAATTTTATTCATTTTGTTTATAATATTATAATTTGATTAATATAGAATACATTGCTGAACATTTTATATAAAAGCATATATATTACACTAAAGTAATATCAAAAATACAGATTAGTTAATCAAATATGGTTATTTTTACAATTATTGTTATTTATGACTATATTTTATGACTACACTTATTTTTTTATGACTATTGTAAGAATTAGTCTCTTCTATAAATATATAAGTAAAAATTACTATCTTATTCAAAAATACATTTTTGAGATTTGCTATTAGTATAAATTATTTATTTGTATTTATACATATATAGGCACTCCATTGAAAGGCATTAATTACATAATTTATGGAATATCAACTTTTTTTACATTAACATTATTAATTGATCTTATTTTTAAAATGTAACTTTTCTGTTATATGTTATAAAGTATTTATTTCTATTTGAAAATATATAAATTTTTATAAGTGATAAAAAGACAGCAGTGTGCATTATTTCCAAAAATAGTTATTTCCATAAACTTCTTCATAGACTTCATAGACTTCATAAAAACAGGCACAAATTGTATAAATTTATCATCTTTAACAATTTAAAAAAATAGATTTTTAGCAGTACTTGCATACACAATAGTACTTGAATATTACCTAGAAGTAATTTTATAAACATGTTACATATGAAAATTTATATTATGTACTATTTGTTGTAAACAAAATTATCGATGAACCTTGTTTTCATTTGTACATTCTGCTCAATTATTTTATACTTTCATAATGAAAAAGTTTCCAAATATAACAAATAAATTGAATTCTAGGAACTTTTTCATTTAATATTTAAATCCACGAATATGTTTAATGATTCCCTTCATGAAAGTAAATATCAAATACTTTTTTTATATAATTATGTGCAATCTTGCATTGTGCATTGTATACAGGGTGGTTGGTAACTGGTGGTACAAGCGGAAAGGGGGTGATTCTACGCAAAAAAAGAAGTCGAAAATATAGAACAAAAATTTTTCATTTGAGGCTTTGTTTTCGAGAAAATCGACTTTGAATTTTTGCTCGGTACGCGTACACTTTATCACGTCTCATTATAACGGATCTCACTGTAGATCGTTGTCTCGTTTGACGTTATGTTGATAAACACTTCCAATGTGACCGAAGTGTTTTCCTACCTATTAACTTACTATTCGACTTTTATCGCTATCCACTATCAGTACCTATTAGTCTACCATCATGTCTACATACAGCAATCAGGAATATACTGACATGATACTTTTGCTAGGTGCGTGTAATGGTAATGCATCAGCCGCAGCTGATCATTACAGACACCGGTATCCCAATCGTCGACATCCTGGCAAACGTGTTATTCAAAGAGCAGAACGAACCCTCGACGAATATGATTCTTTTGAAAAACTTAGACGACATGGTGGTCGTCGACGACGCGTTAGTGTAAATGTTGAAGAGCAAATACTAAAGGACATCCTGACATAAGTGCAAGTGCAATGTTTTGGAACATCCTGACATAAGTGCAAGAAACCTTTCTTTGCGGTATAATCTCAGTTGCTTCACGATTCTTCGAATTCTACACGAAAACAACTTACATGCTTATCATATCACCAGAGTACAAGGACTCATGCCTCATGATAAGATTTCGTGAAAGGCATTTTGTCATTGGTTGCTTCAACAGCATGCCAACGATGCAGAATTTCTGTTAAAAATTTTATGGACCGATGAAGCGAAATTTACAAGGAACGGCATGTTCAATGTCCATAACATGCATAATTGGCAAAATGAGAATCCTCACTCTATTCTTGAAACACATTTTCAAGTAAGATGGAACGTAAACGTCTGGACTAGTATAATCGGACATCTAATTATTGGGCCATATTTTTTCGAAGGAAATGTAACGTTAGCAGCATATTTCGATTTCTTACAAAACAAACTACCGGAATTATTAGA